ATAGATAGATAGATAGATAGATAGATAGATAGATAGATAGATAGATATTGACAAAAGGTACTGAGCATTATGAACTGCTAGATGAACAAATCATTAAATAGTAGGCTCAAGCTTTCATCAACTCAAAAGGATAACAGTTTAATATTATGGACATGCAAAGAGAAAGAATAGTAGACAAAAATACCATTCTTGACAAGATTGAAGGAAAATGTAGGAAAAAAAGATTAGCATTGTAATTGATCAATGTAATAACTACAGCGATAGATTCAACTCTAGCAGGGATTAATAGCCATTTGACTGAAGAGGAAATACAATCCAGAACAACTATCTACAGGGTTTCTATAAGTCAATATCAACTTATTGGCAACTAACAATAACAACAAAACATCTGGACCTCCAAATATTAGCTTGAAATTTCCATATGTTTTAAATCATTGGCCATCCTGGCTAAACCTAAAACTAGAGATAGATGCTGTCCATGCCTGCTCTAACGGTTTCATTCTAAAGAGATCTTCTTTTTGGAATTACATTATCAGCACTGTGAATGCTAGTGATAATCACCGCTACAACCACAGCTATAATGTATGCCATACACAAATAAAAATCAACTTGATTGTCTTTAACACTGAGTGGAAGGAATCAGTATCATGTGTACATTAACACAGAGACTTTAGATCACAGCAATATAGATAGGTTAGGTAAATTATAATAGCTAAGGTGCCAGACATGAAATGATGACATATAGTTTGACTTTATCCTTAGGCAACTTTGGACAAATCATTTATTCTATGCCTAAACTATCTCAAGAGTTATTGTTTTAGAAATAAGGTGAGATTTACAATTACATAACACTGAGCTTTCATTAAAAAGATGAGACGTAAATGCAAAATTGAACAAACAAATATAGTGAAAAATTGTCCAGTGTGAAATTAAATGACAACAAATGTAAAAAACTTACCAAAAAATCAGTGTCTCCAAGAAGGAGATTCCTACGTTTGATGATCCAACAACTACTATTCTACAATTGACAGATACCTTAGGCTCCAAGGACAATTTCCGATTGAAATGATACAGTGCATACTTTAACTGCATGAGGAATAAAATACAAAAAAATATGTTCTTTAGTATATTTAGATTACAAATGTGTTATAAACAAGGACACAGAAATATATGACACTTTCAAATTGTAAAACATGTCTGGAGAATTCCAATTTTCCAACATAATTGGGAATCTAGAGACACCAATATTCAGAGATATTAGTATCCTTCCACTTTTCCCCAAAGAATTCCAATTTGCCATGAAATATGTTGAAATTGTCAAAAGTGCTTTAAATCCTTGAGGAGAAAAAGATCCAGGAAGGATGGAAAATTTCATGGAACAAGATACCGAAGGCGCAATTATTTTCAACCCCCTCGAGACAAAATGGGAGAAATCCATACAGCCCAAAGTGGATATATGCAGACGTTTTTAAAATGCTGAACAGAAAAAAGTGGTATGTATAGAAAGCGGGAGAAGAGAATCATTATAAGAAGAATAATACCAGGTAGTTTCCAGGAATAGAAAAGCTAAAGCCCATAAAGGAGCTTCTGAGAAATCTCCAAAATAGAAATGGGCTCTTACTATGTTATAGCACTGGGAGAAGGAGGGAAGGAACTGCTGTTTAGGATTAGGTGAGGCAAAATCTGCAGTAGCTATGTGAATAAAGTTTTCATTATTATTATTATTATTATTATTATTATTATTATTATTATTATTAT